GAGAGAGGGAGAGAGGGAGAGAGGGAGAGAGAGAGGGGGAAGAGGGAGAGCGGGAGAGCGGGAGAGAGGGAGAGAGGGAGAGAGGGAGAGAGGGAGAGAGGGAGAGAGGGAGAGAGCGAGAGAGGGAGAGAGGGAGAGACACGCACGAAACATAGCCAAATCATGCACCCGTTTTCAATCGGCCCCCCAGCACATCCACGACGAGAAGGTGAGAGGAAACTGGCGATGGCAAATGGAGAGAGAACCAGAGGAAGGGGGGATAAAGAACAGGTAGGAGAGAGAGAGAGAGAGAGAGAGAGAAGCGGCAAAAAAAAGCAGCGTAATTCATCACTTTCAATCATCCGCTTGCTGCCACGTCAACAGAGCAACACGCTCCGGTGCTTGGCACTGGGAAGGTCGATGAGAAAAGACAACAGCGGCCGTCTTCGTGGAGAAAAGGGTAAAAGAGAGGAGGTACAAATCACAGACGGAAGGGATGAGACCATGACACATAGGGCCTTCACAGCGCCACTCAGCAAATGTGAAAAAGACAAAAATATGCCAGATGTATTTCCACGTTCTGCCGGCAGACGAATTCACTTTTTGCACATATGGTGAGTGGTGCGAAGAGGCCCAAAGACAAAACATGGATTGAATTGACACCGTAAGCTGTCGGGATGCAGAAGTAATAACAAGGACGATAATGATGACGATCGAAGGGGACAAAAGGAGGCAGAGGAGGAGGGAGAAAAGGAGGAAGAGGAGGAGGGGGGAAAGGAGGACGAGGAGGAGACGAACACACACAAAAGTTATGCCCGAAAACAATTTGCGGGTACTGGTCGATAACCTGGGAACGTACAGAGAGAGAGTGCGCGGACCGTACAACAGAGTTGGGAAACGAGTGAACAAGGGGATCATAGACGAAGGACGAGGAGGAAGAGGAGAAAGAGGAGGAAGAGAAGGAAGACGAGAAGGAAGAGCAGGAGAAGAAGGAAGAGGAAGAGGAAGAAGAGAACGAAGAGGAGAAGAAGGAAGAGGAAGAAGAGAACGAAGAGGAAGAAGACGAGAAGGAAGAGGAGGAGAAGAAGGAAGAGGAAGAAGAGAAGGAAGAGGAAGAAGACGAGAAGGAAGAGGAGGAGAAGAAGGAAGAGGA